GACAAAGACACCAGACTAATGTACCAGAGTAATGTACCAGACGAATGTAGCAGACTAGTGTACCAGACGTACCAGACTAATGTACCTGACTAATGTACCAGACTAACGTGCCAGACTAATGTACCAGACTGATGTACCAGACTGATGTACCAGACGAATGTACCAGATTAGTGGCGCCAGACTAATGGCGTCATCATCCCTCCCCATCTCCTGTCACTTTCCCTTCAATCTCCTTTCAGCTTTACTTTCACCTCCCCCTTCCTCCTTTCCAGTGCCCGTTCCAATCCCCCCAATCCTCACTATTTCCATCCCGCGTCGGAGGACCCTGGCCACTCCTCTTGCCGCCCCCGACTGCTTTGTGGCGGCAGCATGCCCAAGACAGAGAGAGAGGGATTCTATGGCGGACTCCAGAAAGTGCTTCGCCTTCGGCGCGCCTCGCCCTCGGCGGAAGCCGGCGGAAAGCCGGCGGAAGCCAGCGGAAGTGGAATTGTCGTTCTGTTTCCCAGAGGCCCCGCTGACACAACAAATTTGTTGCTCTTATCGTGCCTATCTTGTTTCAAGCCGTGGCGGCGAATAATCCTGTGAAAGCGTAAATGTGAAGACGCATGCGGCGAAGCACCGCCGCCTCCTGCCCGTTTGGGACCCTCCCGGATGTCTGCCTTGGGCATGGGGCCTCTTGGGAGTTTCTCGGGGCCGTTTGGGCCATCTCAGGAAGCTCGTGGCCCGTGTTTGACCTTCGGAAGCCGTCTCGGGGGCCTCCCTGGGTCGTCTTGGGGACCTGATGGAGCGCGTTAGAGGCGTCTTGGAATTCTCTTGGGCTGTTCCGGGTCCCTCTGGGGGTCATCTCGGGGGCGTCTCGGGGTTGTCCGAGGGCTATATTGCCGGCCTCGCTGGTCTTGATTCGAAGCGCGGTACCAGGGTAAGTACCAGACTACAAATACCAGACATAAACACCATAATGAAGTACCAGACTAAGGCACCAGACTAGTGGCCCCAGACTGAAACACCAGACTAAAGCATCAGACTGAAGCACCCGACTCAAGCGCCAGACTAAAGCGCCAGACTAACGGCAGACTAGCGGCACCAGATCACACCGCCAGACTCGAGCACCAGACTAAAGCACCGACGCGGGAGCTTCCCCGCGGCGATGTGGACGTCACGCTCATACGTGTAGATTATCATCTGCTTCTTTTTCGAAGTCCTCACATCGTCGACGTCGTCGTCGAACAGAAATTCTTTTCGAGCAACGCTAGGGTCTGAAGTCGAAGCGTGGTACCAGACTAAAGTACCAGACTGGAGTACCAGACTGAAGTACAAGACTAAAGTGCCAGACTAAAGTATCATACTAAAGTACCAGACTAAAGTGCCAGACAAATGGCGCCACACTAATGGCACCAGACTATTGACACCAGTCTAGCGGCACCAGGCTAAAGTACCAGGCGAATGGCACCAGACTGATGGTACCAGTCTAGCAGTACCAGACTAGAGTACCAGACTAAAGCTACCAGATGTACCAGACGAATGACGCCAGATTAAAGGCACCAGACTAGCGGTGCCAGACTAAGGCACCAGACTAATGGCACCAGACTGAGGGCACCACACTAATGGCACCAGACTAGCGGTACCAGACGAATTGCACCAATCTCATGGCACCAGGCTAGCGGCACCAGACTAATGGCACCAACTTCGCGGCGCCAGACCAGCGGTACCAGACTAAATTACCAGACGAATGTACTGGATTGATGTACCAGACTCATGTTCCAGAATATGTACCATATTGATGTATCAGACGAATGTACCAGACTAGTGTACCAGACTAATGTACGACCGTATCAATGTACCATACGAATGGCACCAGAGTAATGGTACCATAATGTTGGCACCAGACTAGCGGTACCAGCCTAGCGGTACCAGAGTAAAGAGCCAGATTAATGGCACCAGACTTATGGTACCAAACTAACGGTACCAGACTGATGTAGCAGACGAATGTACCGTACGAGCGTACCATACTAGATGTACCAGACGAGTGGCACCATATTAATGGCGCCAGACTAACGGCACCAGGCCTGCGGTACCATATGAAAGTACCAGATTAATGCATCAGACTTACGTACCAGACTGATGTACCAGACTAATGTACGAAGCGAATGTACCAGATTGATGTATCACTTATACAGACTGATATATCAGACTAGTGAACCTGACGAATGTACCATATTGATGTGCCAGACTAACGGACCAGACTAATTGCGCCAGACCAATGGCACCGGGCTGATGGTACCAGGTCAAGGCACCTGACTAGTGTGGTGCCAGTCGTCTGGTACATTAATCCGGTACATTAGTCTGGTACCGCGCTTACGGTCAAGAACTACCCTCAACCGAGGAGCTTCCGAGGAACGGGCAACGCAACAATAGGAGGCACCGGGGGCGGGGAACCCGAGGAGCCCGAGGAACCCGAGGAGCCCGAGCTGGGCAACGAACAACGTAAGAGTACGAAGCACCAACCTTTAACCAAGTAAGAACCCCTTTGGCAAGCCAAATTGGGGAAAGTATACGATGGGGCGGAATCGCATGTAAATTGCACAATCCCCAACGGGAGCGGATAACCCAGGGGGGGGTGGTATTAATTCTTCTTGAAAAAGGAGAGTATTTGTTGTGGACTCTACTTGGTACAATCTGTGTGGTGCAGTCCACATGGTGCGATCTATGCGGTGCAAGCAATGCTGTGCAAGTTACGCGGTGCTGTTTACGTAGTGCAATCTGTGCGTGGTGCAATTTATGTCTGTGCGCAGTGAGTTGTCAATTTCACTGCTCGCGCAATCATCCAACTCGCCAGCCCGCAACTTGTTTGCAAAACCCACGTGGCGGCGATTGCGATGAGTGCTTGGTGTCGGCTAGCGCATCTCTGCGGCCGCGCTAGCCCGCGCATGCTCGCGCTCGCAGCCGCTAGCGAGCCTGGTGCGACCAACGCGGCCGCGGTGGCGCTGCCCCCTAGGCACTTCCCAGCGGGCACTTCTGTGCGAGTCGGCGAGTCGGGCGGACGCGGTATCATGGCAACGCCGACGACGGTGGACCCGATGATGATAGTAGCGATGCTGGCGACGATACGACGGCGGCAAGGCCACTGACGGCGCCGATGCTGATCACGCCGACGACAAGGACGGCGTCCTCGCGTCGGTAATGAAGCTGTTGGAAGTTCGACGCGCGTGCGCGGCCGACGCGCAAGAGTGGCCCGCATGGTGTTATTTGACAAGAATCGTGCCCCCCGCCTTCCTTGCACGCGCGCAAGGGCGTTCGAATTATCTCGACATGCGGCGCGAGAGGCCCGTTTGGAAACATAAGCAACATGTTAAAGATTTCGTAGCCCGAGGAATTCGCAGGAACGCGAACGCGACATGTGTTCTTATTAGATGCCTTCGGGGCATTCGGTTTTGACTTGCATACAAAACTCAAGGTTTGTGACGTGAAGGATGTCCGCATGCGCGCGCGACGACGCGCGCGTGTGCACATCGCCTCGTTTTTTTCAAAAAGGATTCTTGCGACAGCACTCGCGCAAGGGCATTGTTGCGATGTCGACATGTGCGCGCGAGATGTCCTTCAGCAGCATGTGATGAACAGGTTGAGAACTTCATGGTTTCCCCCAAAAGCCGCAATATCGCAAGCGCAAGTTTGTTCGAAAGTCCTTGTTGCGAGACCATGTGTTTTCATACGTTTTCGGGGCACTCGATTTTGAAATCGTGTCGAACCTTCGGTTTTAGAAGGATTGCGGCATGCGCGCGCGACGACGCGCGCGTGTACAGTTCGCCCCATTCTTGGTAAAAGGAATTCTCGAAAACTCGAGATTTGGGATAAACGAGCGCGCGCGCAGAGTGCTTTGCAAAGGATGAAGGCGGGATTGCTAGTTGGGTTGCGATGGGGCGAATCCATATTTTACATGGACGATGGGGCAGAATCGTATGCACATTGAAATGCGACAAGGGGTACGGGGGGTGGGAGGGGGGGATTCTATCATATTCTTAGACAGGGAAACTTACGTTGTGCAATCTAGGGCGGCGACATGGCGGCGACGGCGACAACATGGCCGCCAGAATGCCACACCGGCCCTGACGACGGGCGGCGACGAGGCGGCGACGGGACGGCGACAGCGACAGCGTAGCCGCCAGACCGCCACACCAACCCAGTTCCTTAGAACAAAAAGCAAGAGCCCCTAAGTGCAAGCACTGTTCGGGGAATTTTCGCTGCCGCGTAAGGGATCGATTGGGCGACGATGTCTCCAAGTGTCTCCCGTTCTCTCCCATTGTGCCCAATCGTTTCCCATTGTCTCCCGTTGCTTCTCGCTGTCGATCTCTATCCTTACCCTAGATCCCTACCCTTAATTTTATGTTGTTTTCATTGCTCCTATCCTTATCCCGATTCCCTTTTTTCCTATGCCTATCCTTATCCTGTATGACTATCCCTATCCCCACCCCGATCCTATCCCTGTCTTTATATCTGTACACCTATATCCCCAGCCCTAGATTCCGATCCCCACCACTATCCCTCTCCTTATCCCTTTCCCGACCCCCCCTATCGTGGCTCCCCATCGTGGCCCCCCATTGTGACCCCCTATCGCGGCTTCCGTCGTAATTGCGTAAAGCTGCTCAGGGTCCTTTGCCGCAAGGGTGGCATTTGTTTGCCTGGATTTCTCGCCCCTTCCCTGGGACCAACCTTTCATCCTGAGCCGCTTTATCATCCAGGGCCAAGGGCCGAGGATTGCCGCAATCTTTCCGCTGTGAGCCCTGCACGACGTGTAGGAGTCTTGGTTCGGGCGTCGAAAACGGACCCTGGACGTGTGCTGCGGTGCATTCCGAACAGAATTTCGATGGGAGTCAAGCCGTGGTGACGAGAAGCATCCAGGAGGCCCAGAAAGGCCCAAAGTGCCCTGAAACTTCGAAGCTCGAGCCCCAAAGTTAGGAGAAAACGCCACACTGAAGAAAAAAACTCGAGCCTCGACCTTCGAGCCTAGATCCTTCCTTTACGTCAAGTGTCGCGTGGGCCGATCGCCTTTGGTCATGCGGCTCGCCTCGAGGTGCCTGTCTTGTGTTTTTGTGTTTCAAGGCTCATCTGGAGAATACTGCAGGCGGACGTGTGCGAAACGACGACCATCAATCGGCCCTCCATCTCACTCTGCGGCGCAGCCATGCTGTCGCAATATGCAGTGTTACAGGGTGGAGCTATGAATCATCGGTGCGTTGCGGAGAAGAAATCGAGCCTAGATCTTTCCTTCTTCCTCTCGCCTCGCCCTCCACTGAAGATCCGACGCCGCATGTCTCGAGCCAGACCAAGCCGTGAGGGTCCCAGGGCCCGCAGCGGGGCGAAACCGCCTGGCGCGAAAGAATCTCGACGCCCATGGGCATCCCAGAGTCTCCAGCCTCCAGGACCGCTCGAGTGCCCAGACCCACCAGGCGACCCACGTGGGCTCGTACTCCTCGGGATACGCGCGTGGAACGTCATCTCTGGAGAGCCAGGGTCTCCAGGCCCAGGCCTCCCAAATGGGACAGAGTAGATGGGGTCGGAGGATCCCTCCGCTTCGCCGATGCAACTGCGATGCGGCGCAATTCGGAGCATCGAGGACGCCGACGCATCGCCGACATGTCGCTGAAGCATCGCCGATGCATCGGCGATGCGGGTCTCCAAGCCCGAGGGATCCCGACCCTTTCCCTGGGAACAACATTTCATCCTGGGTCGTCTTTGACAGTCCTCGGGCCAGGGAACTGTCCAGAGGTCTAAAAAGAAGACAGACTGGCGGTCTGCTTTTTTGGCGCGATGCCCGGATCTGAAAGCCCTCCACCCCTACCTCTCCGTTCTGGGTGTGCGCATCGGCGGCTCCCCGAGGTAGACGGGCCGGGGACCGAACCCACCTGGCGACCCGCAGCGTGGGCTCGGACTCCCGCGGAACTGCGTGGAGAGCCAGGGCCCCCAGGGGACTCTGGACTCTGGACTCACAGGATCCGCGGGGCGGGTCAGGCCCTGTCCGTCGGGAGACCGGCCCACAGGACCGGATGCCTCGACCCCAGAGGCCGAACCTCCACCTCGTAGGCAGAAAGCACCCAGGATGGAGGCCGACCCTTGGAAGCGGCGAGAGGGTCTGCGCAGGATGGGCCCCACGAAAGTCGGACAAGCGGGGGGGCCGTGAGCAAGTCCGCTCAAAGTCGGCCACCCTCACGAGGTCGACCCGCGCCAAGCCGTGGCGACGAAGAAGCCCCTCCCTCCTGTCTGCTGGCCGGAGCCAGAGCTGGGCCACCTCGGCCCGGCCCCCCCCCCTGGCGGCTCCAAGTCGAATCTCCATTCGGAAGGTGCTCGGCCCACTGGGCGCGCCTGGGCCCGCGCCCGCGCAGCGGGCGGGGGCTCGGGGAAGGCCCGCCTGGCAGCCGGCCCCCCGGCCCCCTGGCCCGGGCCTCGGGCCTCGGGCCTGTCGGCTCGCCGGGCGCGCAGGATGGGGCGGGGCGCGGGAGGCGGCGACCTCCCGAGAGTCCTGGGGTCCGACGTTGCTGGTGCAGTGCCCAGTCGGCTTCGCCAATCGACGTGCGCTTCACTTGCGCTGCCATGCACACGTGGAGTGTACTGGGCTAAAAGGCGTTTTGCTGAAGGGTGTTCTGTCAATCCTCGAACTTTTGAAGCCGCATCGACCTGTGATGGCACTGGGGCACCTGGGCGCAAACGCCCAGCGCGAAAGAACTGCAACGCCCGGACCTCAGGGGGAGGTCGAGCCTTCCTGTGCTCGATCCACCGCGCCCGGGCGCGCGCCCGCGCAGCCGGGGCTCGGTGGGGGCAGGCCCGACCGCCGAGGGCTCCCGGGCCGCTCCGGTGCGCGCGGGGCGGCCGGGCCGAGGATGGTCGGGGCGGCCGGCAGGCCGCCGGGCCACAGGCCCTTTTGGGCGGCGGGGCGTCCCCCCCAGGACCAGGCGCCCAGATGCGCCCGCTCGCCCGGCGGGAGGGCCATGTCGGGCGAGAGGGGGGGCGCGGTCGGCTGCGCGTGAGAGTGACCTTTCGCCGGAGCGACCTTTTTGTTCGGGCCCACAGGGGCCACCCCAGCATCGGCTTGCGCGCTTGGATTCGGCCCTTCCGCGGCCCGTTCAAGCTGCGCACCGAAGGTCACTCTTGCCTATGGCCACTCTTACGTGCAGCTGACGTGAGGAGGCAATCAGTCCATCGACTCACGCCTGACCCCCCGAACCCCCCCGGCCGGCCGGATTTGTTTTCTCCTTTCCACGGGGGTCAACCTTCGCGGCGACCCGTTAAACCCAGAACCCCTGGCGGCGCATGTATTTGTTTCCTTCTTCCGCGCGCGCATTGCCATTTGGAACCCCTGAACCCATCCGGCTACAGTACATATTGCATTTGAGTACAACTGGTACTAGTACAACTCCTTAGTGCAACACTTAGTACAACTCCCCAGTACAACTCCCTAATGCAACCCCATAGTACTAGTACAACTCCCTAGCACAACTCCCTAGTACATTCCCTAGTACGACTCCCTAGTACAATTCCCTAGTACAACTCCCTAGTACAACTTCCTTTTACAATTGCCTTCTACAACTCCTTGTTGCTAGTACAGCTCCCGAGTGCAACTCCGTAGGATAATTCCTGAGTGCTACTACAACTCCCTAGTACAACTCCCCTGTACTAGTACAACTCCATAGTACAACTCCCTAGTACTAGTACAATTTTTTAGTGCAGCCTTGAATCGAGTGCTGCTGCATTCTACTTGCAATCTGGGCTCGCGCGCTTTTCCTCCTCCGGTTGTGCTGGGGGGGGTCGACCCCGCGCGCGGGCACCCCTGCGGCTGAGAGTTCACTCCTCTTCCGGAGTTCCAGGGGGGGTAGCCCCCGTGCTCGAACCCCTCGCCAGGGATTTCTTGTTTTCTTCCGCGGAAACTGGGCCTCCTGGGTTCCCGGGCGCGCCCCAGAAGTTCTTTCTTTCCGGATGGACCCCCATGGGTCTTAAGTTGGAGTCGCCCGGGGGATAGGAGGCAGGGCGGAGGGGAAGGGGAAGAGGGGGATAAGTTGGGTGCGCTCGCACCATGTCTGGCATATTATCCTTCCCATCCCTTACCATTGCGCTGTTTATTTCTCTATCCACGGACGCGTGTCGTAGCGGACCTCTCTATCCGCGGACTCGTGTCATAGCGGACCTGAAAACGCAATCGAGCTGCGTACCTTGGAAAAGGAGGTGGCGGATGAGCAAAAGGATGAGAAGGAGGAACATGCGGGAGATCAGGAAGGAGGAGGACGAGGACGAACAGCAGTATCAGCAGCAGCAGCAGGAGCTGGAATGGAAGGAGCGAGAGAAGCAGGAGGACCAAGGGAAGACGGAGGAGGGGATGGGAGGGGGGCGACAACGATGAGGAAGGATTCAGATCCAGAATATGTGTTCAGCGCTGGGGCGAGAACGCCATTCTGAACGAGGTGGACAAAGCGCCGATCCTGAGATGAGGCTGCAGCGGGAGCGCATTTTTGGAAGGATCGAAAACGTTCGGATCGGAAGTACACATAAGAAACAACATCTCGGACCAATCCTATGTGTTGAAAACTATACGCGGAGGGGGGACGCGCCACTCTCAGCACATCTCCTGGGGAGAGAAAGGAGAGGAGGGGGATAAGGAGGGGGATCGGGAGGGGGGTACGAAGTCTGTTGCATGCAGCCAGTTTTGGACTCCGCCACCGGACGCTTTCGTCGATAGCGTTTCCGGCGCCATTTGGCGCCAGGAAAAGTAATTGTTCTGAGCAAATTCCTCGGGGTGGCTAATCGTCCAGGCGTGCCCTCTAGTCTGGGGGAAGGGCTCTTGTAATCGGGACGGGGTCCTGTAGTCCGGAGACATTGTCAGAACCTGTAGTCCAGGGGACAGGGCAGGGTTGGCTTGTAGTCGAAGAGGGTGGGGCTGTCAGGTGGTGCCTCGTAGTCCATGGGGGCCCTTGCAGCCCTCCGTTCCGCCAGCTCCCAGAAGAGGAGATGTGCGTCTTCCGATTTCGTATGTTGTTTGGCGTGCTGCTTGCATGTAGTTGCTGGCTCGTCTTCCTCTTCCTCCGCGTCTGTTGCGGGGCTTCCTCGGGGCATCTTGGAGGCCCTGGCGGGGAGCCTTCTCAGGTATCCTGGGGGCGTTTTGGGGGGCACTCTGGTGGATTCTTGGGGGCCTCCTCGGCTTGGAACGTATTCGAGGCCTGTTGGGCTTTCTTGAGGCCGTCTTGGATGTTCTTGAGGCATCCCCAGCGTGCTGGAGCCCTTCTTGAGCCATCTTAGAAGGCATCTAAGACATCTTGGAGGCCACAGAGGGTGGATCTGGAGGCTCGGAGTGCCCTAGAGATACGTCGACGAGCTCGTAACACCGCACTACTTTGGGATTTGGGACCTGAGAAGACGAACCGATCCTCGGTCCTCGAACCTCGATCCTCCTGCAGTGGTGACCATTGCCCAACACTGGAAACCAGGCTCCGCCTTTTTTTATCTGGGGTGTTCGCCCCGATTCGGGCCCTAGGTCCCTCACGGATCGATCTGGCTCCAGAGATACCGCAGACAGAAAGTGGCTTAGGATTCGGGTTGTTCTCTACATAAGTACCGCATGTTTGTTTTGTGACGCCGTGGTTTCAGCATGGCGGGAGAATTTGGGGACACCTTGGGCCAGGCACGCCTCTGGCAACCTCCAGGCCGGCTCTACTGCTTTTTGCGCATCGATTCCGCAGCCGTTTCGGCTCGGCCTCTTGCCCAGGCCTTCTCCTCCTCCTCCTCCTCCTCCTGCTCCTCCTGCTGCTCCTTCTCCTCCTGCTCCTCCTCCTCCTCCTCCTCCTCCTCCTCCTCCGTGATCTTCCTCCATCTCCTCCATCTCCTCCTCCTCCTCCTCCTCCTCCTCGTCCTCCTCCTCTTCCTCCTCCTCCGCTTCTTCGCACCCCTTGGCCAATTTGCACGGCGGGCTCGGCGTTTCGCTTGGGATTCCATCACCATTTATGACCTTGAAGCTGAACAAATGGTAACAGCTTCACAGGTTGAGGGCGGGTCGTTTTCAAAATGTGGCTGTCGCCTCAGCGCCGAGCACATTCGTTTGAAAACGTTGCACAAGCTTCGCGGATTGATGGCGGGTCGTTTTCAAAATGTGGTTCTCGTTTTAGCGCCGCGCACATTGGCTTTAAACAAGTACAAGGGGTTCACGGATTGGTCGACGGGTACGTGGAACGCCCGAAAAAAGGGGGCAGGGGGAATAGGGTTATTGT